TATTAAGATTTAAAAATCTAGTTGGTATTGGTATGGCGAGTAACCTTCAGTAATAGTAATAAATCACAGCAATAGTACATTCATGTAGTTGTAAAAGCATGATAATATATTAAGTAATCCAAAGTATTCAGAATATGTTACTCTCATTGAGTAACCTAACTGAATATGTTACAAAATACATTTTGGGGCATGTATCCTGTAATCTGTAGTGGAATACATTTGAAGAGTAACCTTCCCAACACTGTTCATATTTCACGTGTGAAGCATGTGTAAGCATCGTCTCTCTCTGCAGTGTTTAACTCATCCCGCGGTCACGCCATCGAGAGGCAGAACTACCTGCATGACCTGCAGCACGGGCGCAGGAGGAGGTGAGGCTCCCCTCCACTCACTGCACCCACCCACACGAATTATTCAAAATCAGCAGACAGACTCTTTAGAAATATCCCAAAGACAAAAATATTTCAACTTTAATTTTTTTGTAGCAAACAAAAAAATCAAATAACAGCCAAAAAAAAAGAATATTAAACAGTCTCAAATATTTTACAGCAGCAGTCCCCAACACCTGGGCCGGGCCGCAAGAGTTGAGGCTCGGGTGTGAAATGTATGGTTTTTTGGGATTTTTGGGGGTCTTTATCGTTATTTTTTAAGTTGTTTTTATCGTTAACTCGGTTTCTCTGGGTCTTTTCCCATCTGTTACGAATAAATCTTATTTTTTTTAAATACCGGTACTAGTTTCATTTTGTTGTATTTGTCCGCGACACCTTAAAGGTCAGTCCGTGAAAATATTGTCGGACATAAACTGGTACAGGGCGCAAAAAAAGTTGGGGACTTAGACTGTTTTACAGTATAAATTATGAATATAAGGGTTAAAGGAAGTTTAAAATGTTGTAAAATATCAACAGAAATTCCCTTCATGTGTTTTCATAATCAGAATGAATTCAAAATATTTAAATGGTGCAGAGGTTTTCATAGAAAATTTTTAAAATATTTGTGTTTAACTGCTATGCGTTTGCATGGGTTCTCCCCGGGTACTCCGGCTTCCTCCGACAGTGCAAAGACATGCAGTTAGTGGGGATAGGTTAATTGAAAAATCTAAATTGCCCATAGGAGTGAATGTGAGCGCTGTCATGTGGCTGTCTTTCTCTGTGGGTTGGCCCTGCGACAGACTGGCGACCTGTCCAGGGTGTACCCCGCCTCTCGCCCTATGACAGCTGGAATAGGCTCCAGCGCCCCCTGCGACCCTGAAAAGGATAAGCGGAAGTGAATGGATGGATGGATGGATGCTATGAAATAATAAAAATATTAAAAATGAAGAGAAAAAATACTAAAACACGACAAAAACATTTAAAAATGTAAATATCTCAAATTATTCATCAAAGAACAATCAACACATTTCCATACTCAAAGTGTTTTGGAAAGTTTCTTTTGAGGAAAAGCAAATGTTCTTCAATTTTATTTGGTTATTTATTACAGTACAAATAAAATATTAGAAATACATATCTGATATATTTTTAACCACAGTCTAAGCTCGCCTTTAGAAATTGTATTTACATTTGTCATTTTCGTCTTGCTCTGAGTCGCCATGCCGACTAACTGCTGCGCTCTGATTGGTTCCTGACTCTTTCTGGTTCATTGTCACAGTAACGAACGGATGGAGGAGGTGGAGCAGGAGCCAATGAGAGGTCAAGCTGTTCATCGCCCGCTTTCCAGTTTGCCAAGCGATGACTGCGATCAGGAGAGGCGCGCACACGCTCAAAAGTTCTGGCACCACAGGTAGGACGACACACCTGAATATGTTCATCAGTCATAGAAGGAAGGAACCAAGTTTAATAAACGTCAGAGAATCATCATTACATCCTGCTGCTTTCAAATTCACTCATTACAGAAGTGAATAAAGTTTTTTAACCCTTTAAAGCCGGTCGGAGCGGGAACGCTCCGTTTTGCGTAACTATTTTTAAATCCCGGTAGAACTGCAACCACGTAAGCTAGCGCAATAATTTTTTTTGCATATGAAACCGGAGGAGTTGTACTCACATCTTATGCCATCAGCTTGTCCTCGGTCACAGTTTCCTTCCACATATAGCTTTGCAAAAACTGCATAAAAAACACTTGAAGCAACAAAAACATAATATTCCAGAAACACTCTTTGCCGATCCGATCAACTGTTCGTAACACTTCCCACATTGAAACAGACATCAGCGCGAATGATCGCATGTCCGCCATGACCTGCCCGAAACCGGACGTGACGTCATTTTGCGGAAATGTAGTTTTTACCATCAGGGCCTTATGAGCCTATACTGGTGTTTTTAAAAGTTATATTTGACTTTATGACTTTTTGTGTCGTTTCTGGGATGCTTAGAACTCAAATTGCACTGCTGGAAATAGTTTATTTTGATGCACATGCTGTTTTTTTTGCAAATTTGCATTATATTTATTTTCGTTTTTCCTGCAGTGTATTTCAAAAATAAAACTATGAAGACACTTAAAATAAATTTCCCGTGGTGGGAAACTATTTTGTGCAACTTTTTTTATTAACTGTTTTGAGGGATAAGCCTCTTAAATTTCTCTAACTAGAAATAAATGTTAAAATGTTTTGTAGTTTATTGCACTTTTCTGCACTTTATGTAATTACTATGCACTTAATGCATACATATTAGTAAAATTTAGGCTGTAATGGTTGTATTGATGTATATCAACTTGAAATGCTCCCAAAAGTTGCACTACAACATGTAAAAATATAATATAAGCTCTGGCGGACTTGGTTCTATGGTAGGTCTTAAAGGGTTAAATGACTGAAATATAATCTTTTGTGTGTGTGTGTGTGAGAGAGAGAGAGAATGTGTGTGTGTATATTCTTAAATAAAACAAAAATATATAAATTTTCCATATATTTAAGAATATGAATAAAAATATTTTCTTTCTTTTTTTCAAATGAAAAAAGACCTCCACGACGAGGGAACGTCCACCTTCATCACCGCCCTCCTCAACGTGACTTTCTCCCCCCTCCTCCGCCATCGCTCAACCCGTATCGATGGACACGTCCTCAGGCGGATAATCAGTGGAGGAGACCGCCACACTTGGAGGATAGCCGTGTGGGGAACCCTCAGTGGAGGCCAGGCGCCGCAACGCTGGACACGTGGAGAACTCCTCCTCCGATCCTCCCTCGCTACTCACCACGCTGGACTGCTGAAGGCTATGGAGTGCCTGAGGAGGAGTGGGCGGGGCCACAAATGAGACACAGCGACAGCAGACATATACAGGGAGGCAGAGCAAGCGGATACGACCACTAGATTTTATTTGATAGAAGAAGAATGGACATAGGTGATGTGGCCTTTTAAGGACGTTAGTGTTTGAATGAGAATATTTAAACAGGAATTAAAATTAACGCTGCTGAAGTCCACTTCAGCCAATCACAGCGCAGTTCAAATGTCGTCATTATTACTTTGATAACCTCGCTCTAGCTTCCAAGACTGACATTTGATGTGCGTGTGTGTGCCACATGTCTGAAGGTCAGAGTTCAGGGTGAAGAGTGGAGAGTGATTTAAAGTTTCATGTTTTCATGAGTGAATAAGAAGAAAATGAAACATGTTGTTTGTGTGCTTGTTTTATTAAATGAAAGCTGAAAATGTTGTGTGTCAGTAAATTATAAACTGGTATGAAGTGGTGTGACCTGAGCGCTCTTGTTGGGCGTCTGTGAGCTCACTGAACTGTGGACAGTCTGAGTCCATGTTTCTACCTTCAGTCTCTCCTGTTTGTGAGATAAATGCCACACGATTCAAACGAGGAGCTGCTCGGTGTTTACCTGTTGCCATGGTGAATACTGGTGTCAGAGCTCCATTGATCGTGGCTTTCATAGTCTCGTTAACCTGCTGTCTGCCTCAGATGGGAGGGGTCGTATGGGTGAGGCTATAGAAACAGAAAGACGTAGCAGTGGGTTTGTTTGGGTTTTTTTGAAGAACATTTATCACGTTTCTTCTGGTTTCACTTGTTTTTGTTTTTTGAAGGTTTTTAGGTTTTTTCCTTTCTGTAAAAAAACAAAACAGAAACTCAGGTCAGCAGGTATGGCAAGCTCCGCCCCCAATAAGCCAACAATAACACAGATCACACCCTGTTCACTGTAACACACACACACACTCCCTGCTGCAGAGGGTCATGTGATACACTCACCTGTGTCCTGTTGCTGCTGAGCACAGGTGTGTAGGTGGGAGGAGTCACCTGGGGAGAATGCGGTCAGTCAGGTTTGGGTCCTTCGACCCACCCGGTTAGTCTCCTCAGAGCTGAGCTGAGTTGGTGCCTGTGGGAGGTTTGCCACAGTACTGCTGGGTCGCTGCTGCCGTGCTGTGGAGGAACATGTCTGTTAATCTGAGCAAGAATGGAGCCACGCTGATGGCCGCCTATGAGGAGGTGGTGAGCGGCAAGTCTAACACAGACTGGTGAGATAAAGTTCACCTGCGTGTCTGTCCACACCTACATCTGCTGCACACCCACACCTGTCTGTCTGTTTCAGGGCACTGTTCACCTACGAAGGAAACACCAACAACCTCCGAGTGGCACAGAAAGGAGGTAAGCACTTGGATCCAAACTTTTGATCCCTCCGAATTTATTTCCTGTGGATTTCCCCTCACTTCCTGTTTTATTTTGAAGGTCAGATCCTGTGTTCTTTGCTGTCCTTCCTCTCTGACTCTTCTCTCTGCTGGTTTCCTGCTGTGTTTGAACCTGAGGAGATGTTTGAGGTGTTCTTGCATTCCACCCTGTTTCTTGACCTCAGTTTGACTTTTTTCAGCAGTGCTGCAGTCTGTCCCTAAGACTTCCTAATGTAAGACAACCAAGTTCAGCTTTTTCCACGTGATGATCATCACGACTGTAAGACATACACTCATCCAGACTGTCCGAGAGTATAAAACAAAGTTGTGTTCATCACAGAAAATGTCCTTTGTTTGGACCAACTGTAAAAACAGACATTTCTAGCGTCAGCAGCAAAAAACATTTATCTCCTCCTGGGGGCCAGATTGGAGGCTTTACTGGGCTGATTCTGGCCCCCAGGCCTTATGTTTGACTCCTCTGGTCTGCTCCCAGAGTGTTTTCTGTTTCTGAGGGTTTCAGGTTAAAATCCAGGAGCAGACCGACCACATGCAGAGTGGTGTTTGCCTTAATACACTAAAAACTTATTATTAAATATGAAGCAAACATTAACAGCTTGGTTATTACAAGCATTCAGCTTCCACAGCTGAGCCTCGGCTACATCTTGTGATGTACCAATAAGTTTCAGCAGAATGGAGCAGAGGCTGCAAGAAAAATATAACTGCAAGTGAAAGCAAAGAAAACCACTGGGCTCACGGCTGTGAACGCTGGTACAGCTGGCGTGTTGAAGCACACAGATAAGATAGTGCTGCTCAGCGCTCCAAACTGGTTTGTGCAGCTGAGAAATGATGCAATGACATCACCGGCATTAAGAGTGTCAGAGGAACGTCTCCAACAAGCTGTGGAGGGTTTTTCGTGCAGCACTGACCTCTTTATGTGTTACACAGGACGTGCACGCAGGAACACCAGCGTAAGCCACCCTCATAACCTTCTGATCTCCAGTCTGGCCTTCAGGTGTCTGCGGTCTGATCTAAATGAGATCATGTTCTCCTTTGTGTTTTGTGTAGATGGAGGGTTGGAGGATATGGTGGAGGAGCTGAACAGTGGGAAGGTGATGTACGCTTTCTGTCGAGTCAGGGACCCAAATTCTGGACTGCCCAAATACATCCTCATAAACTGGGTAAGACCAACTTTAACTCAAAGCTTTTTTCCTGAAGTTTTTCTTTTTTCTGAAAACCACAAACATCTGAAGATTTCAGTGTGGACGTGAAGCTCAGGACTTTTTCACAGTGAGTAATCCAGACCATTAATAAGTGAGCTCATGCTGTGGACGGATCATCTCAGACCTCTGGGGTGAAGTTTGGCTGGTTTCAGCATCTTCCAGTCACATGACAGGAAGCCCCTCAACATGTACTTTTTTTAACCCCCGTCCTCCATCTTCAGCCTGCTGATGTGTTCATATTAGCCTAGCCACCGAGTAGGTCATGGTTATATGTCCACTTCACTCCATCTTTGATCCTACAGTCAGAACATATCCGAGGAAGTTGGAGGGCTAGAAACTAGCCCTCCAACTTCCTCTTAAAGTCTGGCAGAGTCTGCGAGGCTAAACAGTCCATATTCAGTTCTGAGATCCTGTAGAGAGCTCTGCAGACTTTACTTTCTATGAGTGTCGAGTGATAGAAGGATGCCACATTCACAGGATTGAATGGATGATTTTTGTTTTCTAAGACAGGTGAAGGTGTGAAGGACTCTCGGAAAGGACAGTGTGCCAATCACGTGAGCACCATAGCAGGTTTCCTGAAGGTGAGTCTGGCCTCTTTTTCCTGTTAATGTGTGTGAAGAGCTGCATCATTAACATGTGTGACATCACAGGGAGCCCATGTGACTGTAAACGCCCGTGCGGAGGACGACGTGGACCCAGAAACCATCTTGGCCAAAGTGGCCAAAGCGTCCGGCGCTAACTTTAACTTCCACAAGCAAACACAGGAGTACAGAGACGTTCCCAGAGGACCCGTGGTGAGATCACGCCGCCTGAATCGGCAGCACAGCCTCGTTTTACCATCCAATAAGCCAATATTTCATCTCACAGTGCACTCCTACCCCTGCATGAACATTAATGTACATCTTCTTCACAGCTCAAACACTTCTGTCTACAGGGAGAAAACTCTGAAATAAAGAAGAAATAATCAGGGTTGCGCACAGAGAAGAAAAACAGGACATTTCTGTTATAATCCCTGAGCCTTTTCTCTCGTCAGGGTTCTGTGTACCGCAAAGTCAACGCTGTCGAGGAAATCCAACAAATCAACAAGGACGACTTCTGGGTCAAAGCTCAGGTTCGGTTTCAACTCAGAGTCCTCCAAGATTGTACCACAGGTTTCAGTCAGCAAAGTCACACCACTCTCTATTTCTTCTTCTTCTCCTTCAGCGGGATGAAGAAATGCGTCAAAAGGAGGAAAACATTCGAGTGGAACAGGAGAGGCAGGCGGCGGAGAGGGAGAGGAGGGACATGGAGGAGAGACAGTCGAAGGAGAGGGAGAGGATAATGAGAGAGAGAGCTCAGCAGATCGAACAGGAGAAGTGAGTCAGACACACAAAACACAAAATCACAGAAACTCATGAAGAAGACACTTCAAGTATTTTGTGTTTCAGGCTCCGGCAGAAGCAGCGGGAGAACGAGGAGCGAGAGCAGGAACAACAGCGTCGGGTGAGCTCAGCTTCAGCTCATTGATCCTGATTCGGTTGAGTTTATGAGCCCAGCCAGCATCACATTACTGCTCCTGATAAATTAAAAATAAATCAAATTTGGAAAACAACAGTTTTTATTTGATCACAAACAATATAAAAAACAATATTCAACATTTAAATTGTTTATACAGTTATATTTATAACTGTTTAAATTATAAACAGAAATAAAAAGAAATATAAAGGGGCAAAAATCCTGAAGTACACATGAATAAATTCAAACATAAAAGCAAACATAAAAGAAGTTATTAAACTGAAAACTATTTCAGATAATAAAAAATAAATAAACAGGAAATAATGGAAAGGGTAACATTTTTTAAATTACCCAATAATAATGACATAGATATTAGTTAAGTAATTGATTTTGAGGGTAAGAGAAAGATGTTTTTAACTTTTAAAGGATAAGCTAACTTGTGTATTTATTTCATAAATAAATAAAAAACATATTAAGAAAGTAAAAAATACTGGATTATGAGTCATTTCTTTATTGAAACTTGATTTTAAATCCTTTTGGCAAATCACTGAGGCAGAGAAGTCTGTGTTGTGTGATGTTAAAATTATATTTAACGTGATGTATGAATGATTTCTGTGTTTCAGAATGAGCAGCTGGAGAACAGGAAGATGACGGGAATTTCCACTGCTGCCTCGGTGCAGACAGCTAACGTGAGCGCAATTTTGACCATAAATTCTTGTAACGTAATATCTGCTCCTGTTTCTCCCTCTAAATGTTCATTATTTATTTTCACACAGCATCAGAAACATAAAAAAATGATCACACAGGTTTAACTTTTTTGTTATTCCAGTTTCATTTTTGATCAGCTGGGTGGATGGCTCTGGATACTACATTACCCATGAGCCTCAGCAGCTGACATGATGTTCTCATAGCAAACACATTTTAATTGAGAATTCACAATGATTCAATCTGAAGATGTTAAAACTAGAGAAATGAGGATTTTCTTGGTGATTTGTTCACATTTGTTTGGCTCTGTGATTGGATGTTGCCCACCAAGACGCATCATGGGAACTGTAGTCTGCTTCACATGTTTAGTTCTACAGCCTGGAAGCCTTTACATTTTTTTTACTGTAAGCCAAATTGAAATGAACAGGAAGAGCTGAATTACAAAGGCTGAAGAGTTGCATTGAGGGAAGTGTAGGATCCTACCTCTTTACTTTAATGTGACCCAGTTTTATTCACAGGAGGCGAAATCTCTGATTTCTCAGAGAGCGTTTAATCCCAGAGACATCTTCAAGCAGAAGGAGCAGAGCTTTGATGCTGGCGACACACCTGCTGCTTCCAGACCCGGTAAGAAACAC